AAACAATATATATATTTATGTGATTGAGACTTCTAAATGTTATATAAATCAATAACAAAGTTTGGATGTCAGATGTGTAAATACAAGATAAATAAGTATTTGACGAGACTCAATAAATTACCAACCAGTATTTTATATAAATAAGTATATATAAATTGTGTGGTATGTATGCAAATTCCCAAAAAAAATCTAGCAACTGCACTCAATAAATTACCAACCAGTATGAAAGGGAAGAACAAGATAAATAAGTAATGAAGTTCTACTCCAATGATAACAAAGAACTAAAAGCGCATGGATCAAGGCTCTATACAGTCATATCAAGGCACACGCATTAAGTCTTTGTACCATTAGATCAAGGCATACGGACCGAAGCTCTTAGATCTGTCTCTCTATGACCCTCAAATTGTAATGCATCTACTTCCCTATAGGATTGTTGTCCGTAATTATTCTTCTCTCCTTGTTTGATTTAATGCTATTTTGTAATGTCTCTTAGAGCAGTATATATACATTCCCACCCTTGTACAAAGAAGTGAATAAAAATTCTTGAGGGCTTTACTTATTACTTATTGCTTAGAATATATCAAAATGAGTTTAGGGTAATCCATCTAACCTTTGTTATTATTCTCTAAGGTTAGGGTTTCCAATTCCAATCTTATCCCTTTTTTCAAATTCTCTTTCCTTTCATGATGTTGGGTTCTTTGACATTCCTTCAAAAAACTCAATCATGACTAATGGTGCAAAATAAAACCAAAGGAGAGTATTTCAAGCATCTTATCGCTTTAACAGAAAAAATTACCTTACTTGGTCTCAAATTGTGACGAGCATTCTAAAGGGAAAAGAAAATATCCAACACCTTAGGGATCTAACATTAGCCCAAAGACCCAATTTTTTTACTTTGGGAAGAAACTAATTTCATGATCATAACATGGTTATGGAAGACCATGCTACTGAAGATCACTGAACCATTACATTTCTCTCTACCACAAAAGAAATTTAGGATGTAGCTAAACAACTATACTCAAAGGTTTATTAGTAGAGTTGAATCACTACCAAGATCTCAAGATGTCCTGATGTGAAGATACGACGATCCATACAAAATTCATCGAGCGAGAAAGGATCTATGAGTTTTTGACGAGACTCGCCAATGAGTTTGACCTTGACCAAAATCGAATTCAAATCTTAAGCAAAGAAAATCTCCCTTCTCTGAATAAGCATTCTCTCTCGTTAGAAAGACAGTAATGGTCAATATTCCAGTCCTTGAAATATCTAGCATGACAATTCTGAATCCCAAGGTAAGGGACTATGTACCAAAGAACTTTCTCCAAAAGAAAGACAACATCATTCATTCAAAAGAAATCTCTAATGCAACTAATGCAAAAATAAAGGGCACACAAAAGAAAATGTTGGAAACTTCACGGAAAACCCCAATACCATAGAGAAAGTAAAGGAGAAAATAAAAAAGGACAGACTTGTCAGTGATGTCATAAGAATTCAATTTAGAAGAAATCAACAAATAAAAAAAAATTTTCAATTCCTTGAAAAAACCAAAAGGATCTTCCTCACTTGCTCAAATTGGTCACATTAAACATCGAAAATCTGATGATTCGATTACAAGAGTAGATTTTTTATGTTCAACTTATGTTAAGGCAGAAGTAGACCTATAAAAACTTGAGCATATTGTATAAATTTTGATCTTAATTTATTAGAATAAAATGAAAATAATACAAGGGAGAAAAAAGACTCATGTAGCGACCACACTAAGTGAGATAAAAGGTTTGTTGTTGTTGTAGTGTCTCTAGTAGTTTTTCTCCTCCATAGATTCAGGATTCAGGAGTCACTAACCGCATGATAAACCTGCCAATATATTTCAAACTTACAAACTCTGTCCTAACAATAGGAAAATAAAATTGCAGATGGAACTTTAAAAACGATAGTCGAACAAAGAGACAACTTAATCTCTCCCAATTTAACTTTCACTGATGTATTATATGTCCCACACCTTGCAGTTAATTTTTTATCTATTCATAAATATACAAAAAAAACCACAAATATAAAATAATATTTTTTACTGATTTTTGTGTTTTCAATATCTAACTACGACGAAGATGATTGGAAAGGCTAGAGAAAAAAATGTCTTATACTTTCTTGAAAATTGAGGTCAACTATCATATTAATTCACCTCTCATACTACCGACTACATCTGGACCCATCGTTATAAATTAGAACATACTCTCTCAAAAATCTTCTGTGTATGTTTCTTTCGCTTTTCATAAATACAAACATTAAAACTTACATTTTGAAACTTATGAAATTGCTAAACATTGCCATGTTTCCTTTCCTCAATGTAACTCCAAAACATTGTTAGCCATTTTGTATTAATTCTTGAGAACCCTCTAAAATTCCTGAGAACCCTCTGGAGTTACTGATTTCGCTACTTTTATTGATGACCGCACTCAAACGATATGGGTATATTTAATTAAACAAATATCTAATGTTATATTCACTGTTATGATAAAAAAAATCAATTTAATTCATAAATTGTATTTTTCTTAACTAATAATGTTTGTGATTATATTAATCACAAATTAACATCATTTTTGTCAAAGAAGTGTATTATCTGACAATATTTATATCCTGAAACTCCCCGACAAAATAGAGTGTAAGAAAAGGAAAATCATCAACTTTTGGGGATAAATATGGCACTTCTTCTAGATGATCAAATACTAAAATAATATCAGAGATTTGTTGTAACAGCTATTTATTTAATCAATAAAAAAATCTCAATAATAATTGATTTTAAAAGTCCATTAAATTATTTGAGAATTATTTCATGTGAACAACTTCTCAAAGATCCCTCCAAAAATTTTTGGATGCATTCCTTCAAGTTCATATCCATAAATAACATAGAGGAAATTTTGATCCAAAAACTCTCAAATGCATATTCATCGAATATTTTGTCATTAATGTTATCATTCGCCAACAAAAAAGATTATTCACGTCAATGGATGTCATATTTGATGAAA